GAATAGAGAATAGAAAAGCTAATGCTTTAAGTTAAAAAGAAGAATATTTTAAAGAAATTCTTAAATTTAAAGTATAAATCCTATATAAAAATAATTAAAGAAATTATAAATAAATTAAAATTAATACTTTATTTATTATAAAAGAATATAATTCTATCTTTAATAAAATTAAAGATTAAATTAAAAATTAATAACTAAAATAATTCCTTAAGGAAGTAACTATAATTAATAAACTCTTAAAATAGGGTAAATAAATTTAAATACTAGAAGAATTATAACTAGAAGCAATATAAAATATCTATTATAGTATAATTATAGTAGTACATTAAGGTATATAAACTACTTATAACTATATATTATACTATTACTGCTTTAAAAAACTTAAATAAAAGGTTAAAGAAGTTATTAAAAAATATAATATATATAAGAAAATAAAGAATAAATAATATTAGCTATATAAGAAATTATAACCTATTCTAGTTCTTAAATAAAATTAATATATAGTTATATTTAACTATATTATTAATTTATTAAGGTTAAAAGAACTATTAATTAATATAGTTTATAATAGTATTTTTATAGTAGTAAACAAGCTCTTTAAATAAGCTTATTTTTTATTATATAAAAAGTCCTATATTATAAAAGATCTAGTATACTTTTATATAAGGTATATATTTGTAGAATATAGATTATTAGTAGAAATTATATTAAATAAAAGAAATACTTTTGCTTTTAAATTTTAGCAAGAATTAATAGCTAAACTTAAAACTTACTATAAGCTAAGCACTGTATATTATTTATAAATAAATAGCTAAATAAAAAAAATAAACTAGGTTATTAAAGTATACTTATAATACTATATTAACTTTATATAAAATAATTAAATAGAAAAACTCCCTGCAGTATAAAATTAATATAATAGTTTTATTTTAAAATCTATAAAAGTTATATTATTTTACGCTAATTATAGATTTATACTAAAAGCCTATAGATTACTTTATAATAGTTTAAATATAGAAAATGCTTAAATTTTAACTAAAGATATAATTTAATTATAAAAAAAACTTAAAAAATAACTTAAGTTTATTTAAAATTATATAAAGCAATAAGCTAATTATATAAGAATTAAAGAATTAACTCTTTAGAAAAAGGATATAGCTTATTTACTATAGCATTTATATAATAAAAAACTATTAAATATTAAAATAAATTAATTAAGTAATAAATTTAACTTTAGGAAACTTAAACTATTTAAAATTTTAAAGAAAATTAAAGAAGTTAACTATAAGTTAAATTTACTTAATAATATAAAATTAAAAACAACTATTTTTTATATTTTACTGCTAGAAAAGGCATTAATAAATAAAAAAACAGGTAAATTAATTATAAATAAAATTATTATTTAAGATAAAGAAAAAGAATATAAAATTAAAAAATTAACTTATATATAAATAAATAAAAAAATAAATAAATAAAAGTATTTTATAAAATAAAAAAAATATAATTTATTTAAAGACTTTTAAATTCTAGAAAAAGAACTTAAAAAAAATACCTAAATAATTTTATAAGAATTTTATTAATTATTAAAGGTAGAAATAATAATAAATTTAAATTAAAGGTAGATTAATTAATATTGCTAATAAACTAGAATAAGCTAATAAAAGAATTAAGCACTAAGGCAGCCTAGCAAGCGGCCTTTACTTTATATTCCTTATGCTTAACCTGCTTTAACTCTTTTAAATTATTAATCCCCTGTTTAATAGCTTTTTTTATTTTTTTAAATTATTTTTTTTTTAAATATAAAAATATTTTATATATACATTAGCCTTTAATTAAGCCTCCTCTGCCCTTTTTAATTTAAAGTTAAAATTAATACCTTTAATTATTATTTTTTAAAGCTAAAATATAAAAAAACTAAAAGCTTTATAATTTAATTATTAATAATAAATATACTATAAATAATATAAAAAATCTTCTTTAAAAGTAAAATACTTATAACTATACTTTTTATAATAAAGATAAGGCTTTATAATTAATAGCATAAGTAAAATAAAATGCTTAAGTATATTATACTATAGAACCTAGGAAAACTTAAAATACTTATATTTACTGCTAGCTATTTTATTAACTAAAATTAAAAAAATAAAGAAAGTAAAAATTAATACTTATAGATAATAAAGAAAGTATAGGTTTAAGAATAAGGTCTTAGGATAAAATTAATAGAAAGGGAGTATTATATTATAATTTAATACTTAAGGTTATAATAATAAGCCTACTGGGTAGGCATAAATAAATTAACCTTAATTTATTAATTAATTATAAACTATTTAATAAAATCTATTATTAAGTATATTAAATATAATTTAATAAACTTAATTATTAAATATATTAAAAACATTTAGCTAATTAAATATATAAGTTTACTTCTTATACTCTTTTTAAATAACTTAAATAGCTAGTTATTAATATAGTTCTATATCTATAAATTAAAAAGCTTTTTTAATCTTTACTAGTAACTATTATTGTAATATTATTGCCTATAGGTTTCTTAACCCATTTGCTAATATAAACCTAAAGAATTTATTTTAGGTTTATCCCTTGGGAATCTATTTTATATTAACTAACTAGTATATAGTTTGTTATAATATAATTATTAAATTTTATAAATAATTTAATTTAAGTAATTAAATATATAAATTTACTTTAATATATTTATTTAAATAACTTAAATAACTAGTTATTAATATAAAATTAAAATTAAAATACTTTTTTAATTTATTTACTAGTAATATTATAATATTTACTATTGTCTATAGATCTCCTAACCTATTTGCTAATATAAACTATAAAACCAGTTTTATCCCTTGGAATTCTTCTAAGCTACTAACTCTTATAAAACCTTAGTTACCGGGTTGTTACAAAGTATAATATTTATTATATTAATTTTTTTATTTTATTTATTTTATAATTAATACTTTACTTTATATAGGAAATAAATACTAGGGATATATTAAAATATTAAAAATAGTAAATAAAAATAATATATAAACACTAGAATATTATTTAAAAAAATATAAGTCAATATATATTTATTTTGCAAGGCCTAGAAATAAATATCAAGTGACTTTGAAGCTTGTTATTTATTATAGTCAGAGATCCAGACAAAGAGGGTCAAGCTAGCATTCTGTCGAACCTTTTATTTCTTTTACTCCATTCTCTTGTATTATTGTGCACTTTGCCAAGCTAGACTGCCTATTAAATTTAGTAACAATTACAAAGTTTCTGTTATATTACTGTTATATAATATCTTGGACAATAAGATCTCATTCAAATTATAGCTTATCTTTTAGAGTTGATATTCTGACGAAGAAACAGTACAGGAAATTCTAACACTACAAACGCCTCCTTCTTCCTGCTACAAAAGGAATACCAACAGCCTCAATGCTATCTTTACAATCCTATCAAAAATACATAAACTTGGGTAGACGGCGCAATAAATTGCATTTCTAGCAGCAAAACTCGCTATTCACAGGCGGACAGTCCCCCGTTTCTCTTATATCACCTTCCTCGTCTATCACCCAAGATCACCGCCAAAGGGTTTAGATCTTACAAGACGTTATCTTCACATCCTCAAACCGATTGACCTTGTCCTTGATACTGCCCAGGGCGTCAATATCCTTGGGCAACATGCCGCGCTTCGCCCTCGCCGCTCTGCCCCAGCCGCCAGCGCCTATACCCGCAGTGGCCAGAGTCGAAAAGATGGTGGCGAAAGCGTTGTCGGGGTCCTCGATGATGCCCCACGTCAGCAGGCCGGCGTCGGCTGCCGGACCAAGCATGCCGAGGATGGTGCGGACGGTGGTCTGGCCCGCGGCACCGGCGGCCGAACCGACAAATGGGATGAAGAAGAGGACGCCAGTGATAAAGGAGAGGATCATTTCCTGGCGTTCGGCCTTCTTGATCTCCTCAGCCTGTTTGGCAACCTCGACCATGCTGCTGACGGCTGAGTCTATGCTCAGGGCAGGGAGCATTGCTGCGTCGACCAGATCAGCCGGGTCCTCGAGCTCGTCGTAGTCGGCCATGGTAATCAAGATATTGAGTCTTGACAGCAGATCTCTCGACTTGCCGTTCGAGTCTCCAATAATATCCTTGGGGTTGGAAACCTTGATATCGTCGCTGGCCTGAGGGTAATTCCAGTACCAATTATCATTGTCCCATGCACACTTGTTAATGTCATCGGAGTATTGGCAACCGTTGTTCAAGTAGACGTGGGTACTGCCAAACTTTATCCAATCCTTTTCAACGCCGTAGTCATCGTAGATAGCTTTGTAAAAACCATCTTCATTCTCGAGCGTGAATGTGGTATTTGGAGCCGCGTCTTCGGCAAGCCAATTTCCAACCTCGCCGTCCTTGAACTCTGTCGGACACGTAATCGTGAATGTGCCGCGGCCGTTTTTGCAGTCTTTAGAGTTATCGCAGTCTTTGTTGCTGTCATCATCGCAGAAGTAGCGGCAACTACCACAGCAATTGCGCTCGCCCGTCTCCTCGCACTTGAAGTAGTCACCAGCTTTTCCGTTGCCCATAAAAGCATTGATCTGATCGGGCACTTGATGCTTGACGCATGTCTGAAACGTGCTGAACTTGTCGTCGTAGCCGTCGGCAATGAGGTCGTCGTACTTGTTCAGAGCATCGCCCATGATCTTGGCTTCCACTTTGGCCATGTAGAAATACATGCGATCAGGAATTTTATCCTTGCGGCTCTCAAGGGTATCCAGGGAATCGTAGCTGGCGTCACACTGGCTGTAGAAGTCTGTATCAATCTTGTACTCATAGTCGAGCGGAAAGTCGCCAGCAGCCCCACTATCAAGATCACTACCACTGCAAACCAGTAAGTATAAAGTATTAGTAAAAAGACAGGGGATTACAGGGAGCATACTCGCGAAACTCCAGCAAATCAACAGCCCAATCGCTCGTTCCTGCCATGTTGTAGGACGCGTAGAGCTTTTCACTGTCCGACTTGATCGAGTTATTCATGTAAGCCACCCATTCGGTGTTGTTGTAGACCAGTATATATCAGATCCAGCAGCAACCCACTGCTTGTTAATTTTCCCAGAAGCAATAATCTCTTTGATCTCAGCGTTAGAAATGTAGCCTGCAGTGTTTGTGCAGCGGCCGGCATAGGCGTTAGACTGTCTTGGACTACCTGTAAATGTACACATTGGTCCATCGCAACCGGCTGTGGCCATTTTGAAAGAGCGCCCATAGCTGGCGACGCCGACAACAACCTTGTTAGATGGCACGCCAGCCTTTGTGATCATAGCCAAGGCATCCTTTGTTTCCGTCTCGTTGGCGTGAGAGCGAAGACACTTACCAGTAGGACAGCCGGAAGACGTCCACTTATTGTTATAGTCCCACTGGGCGTGAAGATCGTATGTCATGTAAACAATATAATCAAGCGCCTTACCCATCTTTTCGACGGGGAAAGCCTTGAGGTACCAGTATGAAGCTGGAGCTGCAAACGAAACGGAATATTTAGTACCAACAGAGTCTTTAATGCCCTTTAGCAGCTGATAATAATCTTCTCCAGCATTAGAATCACTGGCAGGGACATCAGGGATATCAGGAGCCTAAGTATTTTAGCGTTAGCGGTGTCGGGGAATTAAGGGATGGCGCAGCAGTACTTACACCTGGATACTCCCAGTCAAGGTCAACGCCGTCCAGGCTATGCTTGCCAAGGAAGTCAACGATATTCTTGCGGAAAGTGTCGCGATTCCCCGACTTGGCAGCCTCTCGCAGAATGTTAAACGTATTTGGTTTGGTGCTAAAGTCCCAACCGCCAAACGAGATGACCCTCTTAACCCCAGCCATGCCCTTGAACATATCAAATTGTGCTTGTGCGCCGCTAACGTCAACTTTGAAATCTTTCGCGACATTAGCAAAGGACCAGTGGATATGCGTGTACTTGGCGGTGTCAATCTGATTGACATCCATGGTCAAGCATTTGCGGTTGCCGTTCCAAGACTTAAAATACGCGACTCGAAGCGTCTTCTGAGGCGCGCTACCTTTAACAATATCTCTGCCGCAGCTAGCGATACCTGTTCGACATCAGTTTCCATGCGCTGCCTGGGGAGAACATGGAAGCAAAGAGGCGTAATAAGTCAGATGGGTATATACTTGCATCCATTCTTGACCCCGGAAGTGCGGGGTGCACCAGTTACGGACTTGGAAAGAATACAAAAGTCATCTGTGAAACCACACTTGCCCCAGATATTGCAGCAGACATTGAGAGGGCAAGGGTTAATCTTAGCCCAGTCATCACTGGTGCTGCCTTGCGGCATCTTAGTACCGGGCACCGTCGGTCCACACTGAGCATCTCCGACAGAGGCTGGAAAAGGAGGTGTCCTGTGCTCAGACAGATTACGCTTCCTTGGAAGAGCGGGTTACAGCCAGTCCAGCCCCAAGTCTTCTTATTGAAATCCTCAATATCCTTTTGTGTTAGGCCATGAGAGGCAGCAATGGCAGAGCAGCCATCGTCCGGTTTGATGGTGTACGTCGCACACGACCCATCCTTACCTGGCTTGGGTTTCAGACGGGCAGCTTGCCACGAGTGCATCAGACGGGCTGGCTGGCCAACGGCCAGGCTTGAGCAGAAGTTCTTGTCTGGGTGAAGCGCGGTGAAGTCTGCTGGAGCCAGCTTGCACTTTGACGCCAGGGATGTGCAGCCGTCGCCGCTTATGACACTGACGGTTTTACAGGTGCCGTCAGAGTTGGCCGGGGGGATTTTATCGGGCAGCTGGCCTGAAGAGCAACAGACCACTTGGCCAGGGACAAGTGTAGAGCAGAAGTTGGATGCAGGATTGTACTTTTTCAGATCAGCCTGGCTAATGCCGCATCGCTCGGCCACCGAGGCGTAGCCGTCGTTCGCTTTGACCGTTTGCGTCTTGCAGGTGGCCCTCGCGGCAAGACGCGACTTTCCCCAGATATGGGCAGCATCTCCAGAATCAGAGACCTCCTGTGATGGTTGAGTGCTGGTGGTGTTTCTGGAGTCTCTGGCGTTTTCTGGGACGCGGATAGTGACGGCCGTCCAGCCTGGATTGTTGTTGGTGTCAGCCGAGACACAACGTCCATCTGCCCATGCCTTGACCGCGTCTTGGGCCAAAGAAAAGTCCTGAGAACTGACGGCAATGACACCGACGGCATAGTCGGCCCCACGTTCTCCTTCGTTGCAGAGTTGAACAAGGGTTGACATGGAGATGGATTTCTCCCGGGCATGCTCCAGGAACTTGTTCATGACCTCGGCAGGTACACCATGCTGGTGAAGCTCAAGACCTCCAAAAAGGCCAATGACGGAAGACTGTGAGTAGCCAAAGCTTAGGAAATTATCGGTGCAAGAGGGCTTCTTTGCGCCGAGCGAGTTGAGAAGTTGTTTGCCCGCTTCCAGGAGATGGACAGTGACAAACTTGTTGTTGCCATTGGGAGAGCTGAGCTCCCCCATGGAGACGGAGGCCTGGACGATTCTATGGTTGGGCGTTGAGCAAATGGCGGCAACATCCTCTTTCGGTGTAAAAGTGTCATATCTGGATGTGAATTCGGCTTTGCATGCTCTGATTGCAACTGGCCTAGGAGCACCATCTATATTGCTGTTTTGAACGGCCAAGCTTAGTACCATGGTCTCGTTGCAGGCGGCCAGACCAGCGGCATCGGAGAAGAGGAAAGATGCCTTTTCAGATTCAGAAGATGGTTCTTCCTGGCACGGCGGAGGACAAGGCTTCATGGCATCTCCCGATGTGCGGACGTGTGCTGCCCGCCAGTCCTCGATGCTGTCGTGTCCGGCGGCATCATCTTGTGCAGCGACCGTCCCTGACAGCAAGAGAGCGGCAATCAACCCGCGGCGTAATGAGACTATCATGTTGGCCTGCCCCTATGGGAGCGTTGAGGGAGTGAATGGAGGAGTGGGGAAAGCGATAGCGTAAGGAGGGAAGAGGAAGAAACGAAGGGAAAGGGGGGGATTATGATGGGCGTGGGCAGAGACCCTTGAAAGGCAACCTAGAAGAGTCTGGTTGGTTCTTCCAGGTGGTATCTTTAACAAAGCTTCTGAAGAAGCGGCACGGACGGATAAGAGAGGAGAGTGAGACGAGAACTATAGAACTATGTAATTACAGGCAATCACCAGGTGGAGAGTACCCGCAATCCTATAAGAAAGCAACGCAACGGCGGCGGATTCCAATATTACAAGGCCAAGAAGGATTCGACCATGTGAGATACAACCAACACTATAATGATAAACACTCAAAGGATTCCTTTTCCCCTAGGGAGTAGCTCTTTTGCAGACCAGAGGCAATGCTCATTCAAGGAAAACCCACTTTGCTCTCGCGGCCCTTCGCTTGCCTCGCCGCGGCTATTACTTGAATAAGATGTATACAGCGCAAGGAGCTAGCTGATCACTATACACAATCAAGTTTTTCGGCCAATCAATGTGAGAGCGCCTTATAATGACTCCAGGTAATGTTCCTTTAGTCGTGAAAATAACCGCCTAATCCCTGCACCGCCCATGTATGTAGCATCGTTTAGAGCGGAGGGTTCCACCCATTAGACTAGGAAGGGGATGCACCGCCTCGGCCTCACCTCGATCTTGCATAGTAAAGCACACGGAGTACAAGCCTTCTATTGTTGAAACTCAACCTCTATTGGTAATCCCAAGATATTGTGTTGTTGGCCCAGAGGCCGATACATACCGAGGTATATAACATTCCCCTTGCGAATCCGTGGTCTACGGGTGCTCGATGACTAGAAGCGTACTGGGCTGCATTTCGCTCCATCTTCCCATATCATCATCGTCCCTCTTGGCTCCCCATTCTTCTTCCTGGGGACCATTTGGCGCGGTCATTACTTGTTCATTCATCGCCATTCCTAGTCAGCCCTCGACCACCGCCGCCATGAGAGCCACAGTATTGCTGGAGCTCGTCCTATTCATCACTACCGTCTTCACCGGCGGTTACCAGGGCGCGTTGGAGCGCGTCTGGCTCTACTACATCTATGAAATCGATGGCCTTAACGCAGAAGCAGATCGTATGATTGGCTTTGCCTGCAAGGGAGAATTCAACAAGGCAACGGGCGAATGCCCCGGCGGTTGGGAAAAGACCAAGTCGAGGGGCCCTAGAGCAAACTTCAACGAGTTAATTGGCGCTCTGAGCAAACTGAATGGCAACTCCCTCGTACCTTTCGGCAGAGACAGCGGCGGAAATCCCTTGCCCCTTGCTGACGGCGCCGCTGGTCTCGATCCCCAAGAGACTGCGAAGCACATCTACCCCGAGATCCTCAAGGCAACCACCAGCAAAAAATATCCCAATGGCATGGTTCCCAGCCCACCTGCTTACAAGATGGTAAAAGGCGGCACGAACAACTACATCAAGTTCCTAAGTGATATGGGGAAATTGGTGCAGAAGACATCTAGAAAGGGCGACAACTACAAGAATCACAAGGCTCTGTTTGACGGTTTCCAAAAGGCCAACAGCAAGGTGCTTGAGGCCAGAATGGGCGATCATGGGTCGTTTCAAATCCAAGCCATGAAGGACAGGCTGAGCGGCAAAGGCATCACGGTCAAGACAATGACTGTAGGCAGCGGCACTAGCCCGGCCACCGGCGAACCCTGGGATGTGGTCGACTGGAAGGAGACCATCAATGGTGGAGTAACCGGCACGGGTAAGAGTAGAGAAGAAGTGGCTAAGATTGTGGAAGCCGCCGCCAAGGATTTCTACACCAAGGACACGGCGGCCGTGGCACACAAGCCGGGCATTGACGCCACGCGGCGGACGGATCAGAGGATGAACCACTGCGGCCCCTAACATGGCCCCATCATGTTCTTGTGCTTTTCATTATTATACTTGGTAACACTACATGTAGACACTAGTCAAATTTACACCTTTTCAATCCATCTCGTGCATTTGTGCTAAAGTCATGTGCCAAGAATCGTCAAGGGCATGAGCAATCTCTTCCGAGAGATGATCCGGGTCAGGCGGGTTTCCCTCCCTGTCAAACGAGAATACCGTCTGCCAATCGCCCACCATCTTCAGCTGAGGGCCAGTGAGCACAAGCCCAGACCCCTCGTCGAGAAACGTAATATTATCTTCAGGACAGCATCCAAAGCCCCAGTCCGTAAACACATCTCCCCACATTGCATCACCAAGCTCTAACACCACCTGAATTTCCCTGAGGCTCTCTAATTTACAGAGAGGGGAAAGCCCATTATAAGTGGTAGCCCACTCATACCAGTCAGGTTGGTCGTCAGTCCGAATCTGAAGCCGCTGGACGTCGGATTGCTGGGAGACAGACGCAAGGTCTTGAATGGCGTAGAGGCTCGAGACGCAGAAAATGTCGAGGTCAAAGTTGACCCACGTCCAGCGCGGCTCGGTGCCCGCGGTAAACGCGCGCTGGTAGGGCGCTTGCTGACGAGACTCGTGGCATACATGCATGAGAGCCGGGGGCGGCGTTGACGTGGTCTCGTAGAGGATATCCTTGCTTTTCAGGCGCTGCTTCTTGCTGAAGCTGCCCTCGCTCTTCTTGGCGCGGACATTTGTGATGCGCCGAGGCGCCACGGCCAAGCTCCAGATGTAGGAGCGGAGCTCGGAGGGAAGGCTGGCGAAGGACATGTGGAGAGAGTTCAGGAGGCACGCAGGAGAGGAGAACGCCTAGGGAGTCTGTTGGTTGGGGGAGCTGAGGATCTTTTGTGCCAGGCAGAAAATGCCGGCGATGAATGCGAGGATGGAAAGTGAAAGTACCTTGGGAATGTCCTAGAGTAATCGTATAATATCCGATGCCAAGTATATCTAATCAAAGGCAGACCCGCGCGGCCGATGAGAATTTCAGGTGGCGCGAGGCTCCACTTGTCGAGCCCCGAAGAGGAAAGAATGTGTACCTACGTACAATGTACGGCGCAGGTACAGACAGAGTGCGGTGTCTTGCAATCACCGCGACCAAGGCCCATGTATGTTGCAAGTATTGTCTGCTGCATTGTGTGGGCGAGACTCTAGCGACGACGTCTGCTGCTCAGCTCCGCTACCAAGGCCACCAATCATCTCCGCGGATATCCGCTGCACCGTCTCATACTGTGTATTCCCTGTCGATGAATCCTTGGCCCCTTGCCAAGCTTAGAATTTATGGTTAAAAAAGCGCGCCAACCGTGCGGCTCCCGAGCCCTAATAGCGGCTACTAATCAAGTCCGAGGACCACCTCAGGCACCGCCAAGACGAACGCCTCTGCTTCTCCTCGGCACAGTTACCTGCACCGGACTCCTCCCAGATGCACAGCCTCACAGCCAGTGGCGCTTTACCGACTTTACCGATGCTATGTCGACAGATCAACGTCGTTTTCGGGCGTCCCAAATCTCTGCTCTCCCAGCTCCGTGTAACGTGGCGCATCTCGACTACGCAACGGATTTGAATACTTAAACCCGCGCCGCATAGAGTCCGGTAGTCACGCTGCCTTTGCCCTCTGGTAGCTGGCCTGGACTCTTTGCCCTCATCCACATCGCAGCCTGACCTTGCGCGGGTCTTCCCACGTCTTTCGCCCTTTCTCGTATGGCTCTTGATTCCTCTCTTCTCACGCGCCTCAGCTCCACCAGGGAAGGATAGAGAGAAGAGCAAGAGTGGAAAAATTCATCGCCATGAGGCCAATCTCTGCTTCTACCCACCGCTCGGGCGGTGTCCTGGTAGCGCTGGTCTTTGCTCATCTTTGTGCTGCTGCCCGGAAGCCAGTCTACTCTTTCGACCCCAAAACCGTCAAGAGCTGCATCGACTGGTGGAACAATGGCGATGAAACCACTTCCTGCAAACACGTCAGGGACATGTTCGGCATCACCCCAGAAGAGTTTCACGAATGAAACCCGTCTCTCAGCGTCGACTGCGAGCCCTGGCGTTTCCCCTTGTCCTACTGTGTGTCCACCAGTGACCGCAATCCCCCTCCAGGCGCCAGCACCACAACCACTCGGGCCTCTTCCACCACCAGCAGCAGCACCAGCTCACATGTGCCTTCGCCCTCCTTCTGGACGGCCCGGGGCTGCTACCCGGACGATGATCCCAATTTTCCCGTCCTAGAGCACATAGTGAGCAACAAGGGAGGCGACTCGGCCCTGGACATTGCCGGCTGCGAAAACTCGTGCTGGAAGGCGTCCGTCAACAACACTGTCCTCTACGCCGGTGTCAAGGCGGTTAACCAATGCTGGTGCAGCAGCTTCATCGGCGGAGAGTCGGCGAGCGATCAGGGCAAGTGCAACAGGCCGTGCAGCGGCAATAAGAACCAGATCTGCGGTGGCGATAAATATATCAATGTTTTCGAGCCTGTTACTACTAAGGCTACCTCCAGCGCTAGTAGTGCCACAACCTCCTTCTCCAAGACCACTACTCGGACTTCTTCGTCCGCCACGGGCACTGTAACTAACTCCGGGGCGAATCGCCTCCGTGCCTTTCTTTGACGTTGACTATTCGTCTTATGTCTACTCGTCATGCCGCACACGCATCGTTTCTTCTCAGTAGCGCAGCCATGACTCTCATAGATAGACGCTATACAGCATTTCACCAAGCTCGTCTCTTTCCATCTGTAGCCATATCCGCAGCTTCTAAGACGTGCAGTTATCGGATTCGTCACAAGTTCAAAATTTCTAATTGAATTGCCATCGTCGTCTTGAGTCAAAACACTCGGTCGTTGTAGAATTCGCCAACGCTTTTGCACTAACTGATCTTTACTATATAATATATAAATATTTTCCACAATCAGTCTAGGTTATTGTTCCCGTGCATTGCCACAAACCTTTATTAAGATCCCGTGCGTTGAAGACTGTAACGGTAGTCTTCAACTATTATATGGATCCACTAGTCGTTCTTGCCGACGTTAAAGACCATAGCTACGGGGTCCACCCAGTGGCCCACCCACTGGCCCCAGGGGGTCCCTACCCAGACGGGGCCGACTCAGCGGCCTTCTTAGAAAAAAACCACAGCCTCGCCTCACGGTCATTGGATAACACTATCAGGTTCTAGGATACAACGACAGGCAAAGAGCGGCAAACCCTTAAGGGCCATAGTGATGCAGTTACGCCAGTGGCCTACTCAGCAGATGGCCGCTACCTTGCCTCAGGATGAATGGATAGCACCATTAAGATCTAGGATGCAACAACAGGCAAAGAGCGACAAACACTTAAAGTCAACAGTGTAATCTATACTATATCTTTTAACAATACAATTTCATACCTACATACTGAAATCAGCCCTATATAATTAAGCATAGAACATTAAACTAAAGCTCAATCTATTATAGTAGGTCAAGTTCTATCTGCAGATTTATATCTGGCTCAGGATCAGGATTAACACTGATTTATTGCTAATAAAGCTAAGAAGGTAAAATATTATTTCTAGGGCATAAGCACCGATAAATGTTGGATCACCTGGAATAAATATAATATACTATGGCTTCCTCCCGAATACCAGCCTTCTACATCTGCTGTATGGCCTTATGCACCATCTTTTACGTCGCCACAGGTGCTGTTAACAGACGTAGCTATAGCTCTAGGTAGTGGTTTAGGGAGAGTGGTGGTATTTAGGATGTCGGGTTCGGGGCTATTTTCCCTATAATAATCTTTTTAAGTAATACAGCTTTCTCTCTTTAACTTTTTTTAATAACTTTGCGAAATACCGGTAACAAGCCGATGGCATAGATAACAGCATAGAGCATGCACTTTATATATATTTGTTACCTCTTCTGCTAGTTATAAATAAAGAAAGACGCTGTCTATAGCGCTTTTGCTGCCACACACTCTTCTACACTTCATCTTCATCAATCAAAACCTCAAGTTGACACCCTCGAACCTCGTCCGCCATCTCCCTCCAAAGCTCAACCACGTCTTCGGCCGGTGTATATCTCGGCAAGCTCCCCCAATGTGCGGTGGCAACACCTCTAGCCGCATCGTAGTTATATAGGAAGCCATGGTATCTGCGGCCCCACCGGATCGCCCCGTCAAACGTAACAAGATACAGATCCCGCAATGCCGGCATCCGCCGCGCCGCCCGGGCCGCGCTTCGGTGGATTCGATCCATCTCCGCCGCCACCGGCACGGTCCGGAAGCTGTCCTCGTACAGGTCCTCGGGCGCCGGCACCTCAAAGCCCAAATCCTCCTGGCCCCACTCGTCGAGGTCAACCACTGGCGAAGGGCGGTCGCGCGGCGAGTCCTCCGGATTATGCTCCAGCAGCCACGTACCCTGTGGTGTCACCGCTGCGTACATGACCACAAGCCGCTCGAGGTGCGGCCATTCGCTTGCCGCTTCCTCGTCGTCAGAAGCCGCCGGATAGAACACCTCTGGGGCGATCACGACGTCCGAGAGGTGCAGCCGCTTGAGCTGCCGCGCCCACGTCCGCAGGCCGCGCATGAAGGCGTCGTCCGCTCCGCGCGTGTCAATGAGTTTCGGCGGGATGCTGGAGTGGTCTTTCGGTGCCGCGTAGCTGCATGAGAGCGTCACCTCAGCGTTTGGGCAGCGCATTCGGGCGAGGGCATCGCCGATCTCTATTTGGTGAAAGTGAGCGGCGCATTCCACGATTCTGGCTCGACTGGTTAAGCGACTTACCGTCCCGCAGCCGTTTGCGCAGCTCCAGATCCTTCTTCTCGTTCTCCCAGAAGTTGATGCTGATCTTCTTAGCATTAGGCAGGCCGTTGATGATGAGCGCCCACGCTGGTGCAGAGATGTGCCGCCCCTTGCCCGAGATTAGCTCTGAGACGCTTTCGACGACTGGCAGCCCGGTGGCGGCTGGGAGCAGCTGCAGGATAGAGTGGATGTATCGGTCGTCGAGGAAGTCCCGGTTCTCGACGTCCTGCTTTCGCCTGCTCATCTCTGCCTCGCCGCAACGGCCAACATCGCTGCGCGAGAAGGCCGTGATGCGGAGCAATATGCCCGCCCTACCTCTATGGACGCCGTTGCTTCCAGGTGCCCACCGGCTGAAGACGTCGAAGAACAACCGTAGCGTCTCGCTGAAGAGGGAGCTGTTGCGCGCATTCTCCTCGGCCGTCTCAAATTCGCCGTACACCTCGCGCCCATACGGCTCCAGCTCTATGTTGAAGTCCACTGTGCAGACGTATGCCTGACGCCGCCGGCACAGGATCCGGTCGACATCGGCGAGGCGCGCCCGGTCCAGCCGCAGGTTTCGGAACGTCCAGCGTTCCACCAGGTCCTGCCATTCCCTGCAGACGCCAGCATATTGGGCAGCCCCAGGGGAGTTACCGTAGATGTACCACCGGTAGGGGTAGCGCCAGTCCCGGCAAACCAGCTCGACAATGCGTTCCGTTATCTCTGTGGGCAGGGGCCATTTGCGCTGTGTCATTGCTTCTCAGGCGCTATGTGGGCTGGAGGTAGCGCTAAGTGTGAATAAGGTTGCATGGGTCAGCGGCAATGCGCGGGAGTTTAAATATCATTGAAGGTTAAATAATGAGTGGGCGCGGGGCATCTTTATAGGTACTATACTGTAGCTCGGCAGGTGCCTATTTCAAGGTGCAAATGCCCCGCAATATTGCATATATTGCAGGCTGCATCTTAAATTATTCAGTGCAGGAGCCCCTTTCTTTCTTTGCTACCTAGTCGAGTGATATTGCAAATATGTTACGGAGTACATGGATCCTATTAGGAATAAGAATCACCTAATACAGGAATACATATAGGGCATTCACGATCTAGTAGATTGTTACAGCAACATCAGTTTCATAATAAGACGAAACAATGGTTACGTCTTCATCTCGTAGTGTATATTGTAAGTAAGCTAAGAATTAAGCCAAACTCCCCCCTTTTCTTCCCACAGCGTTATCAGACGCCGACGCACACATTATAATCCAGTCATAAGTTGCTGCACGTGTTAGTAAGCTCAGTATTCTATTGGCGGAACTGCGCATCCGTTATGCCGTATTGCTTCTCAATGCTAGCGCAAGAGTCGCTCAACGTAATCAAGTGAAACTTTTTGTAGCTAGAGATAGTCCCGGGCTCTGTCCTGTAGCCTGGGAGGCTGCTGGTCGTTAACGTCGGCTTCTAAGTTGTAGTGGTAGTGCCGCTCACTGCCACGCACTCATAATCACCGGCAATAAGGTTAAAGCAGTCGGCCAATTAGGCGTGTTAAGCTAAAGCAATTAAAAAAATATTTCACCAGTTACAATACTTACCTTAATATTATTCCACGCAAGAAAGTCAGAAAGAGACACTCCGTTAACAGCCGCGATGTTGGCGCAATAGTTATCACCCGATTGCTGAACCCACTTTATGCCTGCAAGGCATTAGCTACCGCATGCCATCAAGCACCATAACAAGAGACAAATACGTACAATTCGTGGTTGCCCCAGGCTGAGTCGGCGATGAGAACTTACTAGAACTTATAATGGTAGCGCTACCGCTGACGGCAACACACTCATAGTCACCGCCGATCAAGTTAGAACAGTCGGCCTATTAGGTGTATTAAGATAATGCAATTTAAAAGATATTTCACCAGTTACAATTCTCACCTTAATATTATTCCACGCAAGAAAGTCAGAAAGAGACACACCGTTGGCAGCACCCACTTTATGCCTACAGTGGTAAGGCTCTTATCAACTCTGTATGACCCACTATGCCGGGGGTAGAGTTGATTTAGAAGACCGGGAGTAGAGTTGGTTTCTTATCGATAAAGAATAACCCCTATGTGCTGCATGTGCTGACAGTTTTCCTACCTTTGTATATAATAACAACTTATATAGCTAGTTGTTTATATAGCATCAATATTAAGTTCAAATACTACTTTACTAGCTATAGACTGTTGCACTGCCCATAACCCAACTTAGCCCATCCACTAATAACATTAACATAGAATCTAGATTTATCTGTTGGGAACTACCCTATACTGACTTATAAGAGCACGGTTTAGTACATATTCTTATATTCCTCTACTGTCTACCGCTTTTTACATCCTGCTCCTGCTCCTTTTTTGCTTTCCATCTTTAGAATGAAGAAAAAAAATAAGAGATCAATTATATCATGACTCAACGCCAACGTCTCTTAGCTGAACAACGCCGTAAGCGTGAAAAGTTGCGATCTCAGAGACGACGAGCAATATTATCACACCAGCAACAAGCATCAACGCTCGAGGAGGCTGCTAGCACACTCCAGATCCAAGTCTTAGAACAATATAGCAAGGCGACGTCTAATTTCTTGACGTATCAGCAAACAAAAGCTAATTTTTTTTCCCCTTAGATATCCCGCGGCAGAGACAGCAAGAAAGTATAGATCAAACATTACCCACTTCCCAGGCCTCTCTTCTATACACCGCTGAAAAGCAATCGCTTCAGCCTTCAGATAATGCCGCTATCTCAAATTTCCCTTTGCTGCCATTTTCTGGTAAAGAGAGACCGGATTCTTCCAGTTCTCTGCAGCCCTAGATTTGGGTGTTAGGGATACATTAACCGCCACTTCCACAAGTAAGCAATCCAGGATTACTGGGGCACCATCCCGGCCGATAATGCATCAATTACCACGTGTCACGAACCAACCACATAAGATCCCTCTAGTACGTACCTCCGGGTAAACTACAGATAAAGCAACCAATTAGGTTAAAGGAAATGTATTCTTAGTAAGATATATACCTGGTTATTAATCCACCTGTTGTTCAGCTGCAACAACACGCTGATTACTAGTAACCGCTGATATATATAAACTATATAAAGCTAAATAATGTAACCTAAATAACTATTTTTATTAGCTAACTTTAACCTTAAAGTAGGGTTTGTTAGCATTAGTTAGGGTTAGCGTAAATTATTTAGATATTATAACCTCTTTATTGCTAGATGTATTTATTTTACTAAAGCTTTTATAAAATATATTTTACTAGACCTTTAGTAAAATGCACTTTTATAAAATATTTTTTAAAGCATTTATATAAGCTTTAATAGAATGCCTGTCTATAAATCTATTATTTAAATTTAATAACTTATTAGTTATTACTCTATAGTAAACTGCTGGTATATATAATGTAATGTTCTGATCCTATACCTGGTATAGGGTAGCTAGTTCTTAAGGGATAAACCTTTAATATTGGGTTTATATTAGCAGAAAGATATAAAGGATTTTATAAGCAGTTTTAATTATATAGCTAATAACTTTAAATAGAAATTTAATTTAATTATTATATAAATACTATATTAATAATTAATTATTTAAGCTATATTTAATAAGTATAATAAATAGTCTTATATAGTAAGTTATTTTATAAGGCTTATAATTTTAATTATAATCCTTTTATAATAGCTTATTCTTATAATAGTAATTTATTTAAAATAGCTTACTTTTAAAGCTATAATTCTTTTTTTAATTAGCCTATTAATTTATAGTATATCTAAAGTATATATTTTATAGTTTTAGGTTATAATATAATACCTTCTTTTTATTAATTTTATCCTTAAGGCTATATATACAGTAATATATAATTTATAAATATATTACTTTTTCTATATCTATAGTTTTATAAACTTACTTTTTTAAAAATACTATTATAATTAATAAAGTATTTAAGCTTATTTTTTATAAAACCTATAAGTATAATATTTTTATATTATATATTTTATTTAATAGATTTAATTTAAATATACTATATATATATTATTTTTAAAAAAAGGTTTTTTATTATATAATTAAAGATTCTTTTTATTATTATAAGTATATAAAGTATAGTTATTTTTATAATAATATATTAGTTATATTCTTTTATAGATAGATATTTTTTTTTATTATATAGTAGCTGATTTTTTTTTTAATAATAAAAGTATTAAATTAATATAAGAAATTAAAGGCTAAAGAAAAGACAGTAGGCAAGGCCTTAAAGTCTTTTTAAGCTTAGCTTTTTAAGTTATAGTTAAAGCTATTTAAGGCTATAAATTAATTATTTTATATTTATTATACTAAAAGTTAAATAAAAAAATATAGTAAAGAGTTAGTTTATTATAAAATATAGGAATTAAATAAAAAAAATAAAGTAATAAATAATCTTTAATAGTTAAGGGTTTTTAATAATATTAACTAGCCTTCTTTAAGCATTAAGCTTAAGTTTATTAATTTAAATTCTTTAGTTTTATAGTTTAAAAAAACTTCTTTATTAGCTTTTAAAAGCTAAAGTATTTAATAGGCTTTTATAAATTTTTAAGTTTTAAATATTTTTTTTATTTAATAAAATATTTAATATTTTAAATTTTAGAGTTTTAGTATATAATAATAATATTTTTAATTTTATATTCTTTTTCTTAGGTTTTTATAATAATTTTATTTAAAATAAACCTTTTAGTTTTTTTATTAATTTATACTTTTTTAAATTATAGTATATAAAAAACTAAATTTTTTATTTTTATTATATTTAATAAAGCTAGTTTATAGTTAACTTCTTTAATTTATTCTAGAATTTTATAAAGTTTTATTTTTTTAATATTAAGTTTATTATTTAATTTATTTATTTTAATATTTAATAGTTTATAGCTTTATAAGTATTATAGTAAATAAACTATATCTCTTTTTTAAAAAATTAATTTTATAATTTTATTTTTATTTATATATTTCTTTATATATTTATTAATAAACTTAAGTTATATATATATTTCTTTATATAAATTAATTATTAATTTAGCTTATAATTATATTTTCTTTAAATTAAGTTTATTTTATAATAGTTTAAATACTTTTAATATAAATTTATAATTTATAAAAAAAA